GCCTGAAACTCTCAGACTGAAGAAGTCTCTTGGAGGAGAGACGAAACGTTTCATTAGAGAAGAACCCATCCAGAAGACCTATACAATTTTTTTCTTTTTAATTTTTAACCTGGATTACTGAGATGCATCAGGACAGTTGGTCTGTTGTTTTTCTTTTTTTACACTAAAAAAATGAACCAAAACTTTTTTGTTTAACATTTTTAATAAGATTTCCTGTTTAAACAGTTTATCTGGTGAAGACTTGCTCGTTCTTTTAGACCCACTAAGCCATTTGATTTGGCCCACCGTCATTCCAACCATTGGTCCAACAATAACTCGTGGTCCTTACTTTACCTTTGAATTATATTCAGATTAAACATAAAATACAAGCAACTACAGGAGGCATTCAGGCTAGATTTGCACACTTTATAAGAGCACAAATACTAAAATTTTAATTTATGAAAAGTCCCATGAGCCTTTGCTGCACGAGCACACGTCAAAAAAAGTGTACTACTGCACTAGCTGCTAGCTTAATCTTAAAAAAACTACTTTACTTAAAGTATTTGCATTTTGCATTTGATCCTCAGATAGATTTTAATTTGAGCCCCTCAGGGAAAATGAGTATCCTTGTTAAAACAATCGAGGGTTAAATATTGACCTTAGAGATTTGTCCTTTAATTTTGTCTTAAATGTTAAGTTCTGTTTCATCATTCCTCCTCTGACATAACGATTAACATAAAATTAAACTTGTATTTGGATTTATCTAGTCTTTTAACCAGATCAGATTCCTAAAAGGTTTCTTTATAAATGCTACTGAATAAAATGCAAAGACTGCTGGTGTGACCTCCAACCACAGAGCTGAATAGAAAAAAACTTCCTCCTATTGTTAGCTAAATGGAAAGACGCAGAAGGGATGAGAGGAGAGGATAAAAGAGGGGAGAAGGCAGAGGACAGGGTGGAGAGAAAAGGTGCAGCCTTAGAGGGAGGAAAGAAAGAAAGAGGGGGGTCGAGCCTTTCTGTACGGACAGCTCTCGCCTTTTGTTGGCTTAATGGAAAGACGGAGAAGAAGAGTCAAAGGAAAGAGCTTCAGAACAAGTGACGTCTCTTTCTTGTTAGATAGGGAGAAGCATAAGAAAGAGAAAAGGATGGCAGCGCGAGGAGGAGGAGTGGATATGAGGACAGAATGAGATAAGAGGTGAGTGTCAGCTATAACAAAGCAAGGTCACAGTCTGGGGAATGTCTTCTCTTGAAAGGGAACAAGAGAGGCTTGAAGATGGACACATGCAGGCCTTCAGACTCCTCCTCCTCCTCCTCCTGCTAACTTTGTCTCACATGAAGAAAAAGCACCGTCGTCAGTTAACAGGTGATGCATGTGTTCAAGAGAAGGAAAAAAACAAGTTCTTGAAGGACAGAAAAAAAAGAAAGCATCGGGGTGTAAAAGTGAGGAAGAGGATGAACACTGGAGCACCGTGTAACAGGAGCAGGAAGAGAAGGTAATGAGGTAAAAGGAGAGGATGACTGAGAATGTCAGATATAAAAGAAGAGGTGGATAAAAGCTAAGGTCGCAGAGAAAAAGAGAGGATAAAAGACAAACACAAAGATGAGAGAGGAGGGAAAGTTGGAAGCAAGGAAAGAAAACTGAATGAAACCGAATGGAAAAAGGAAAGATGGAGGCAGGAGAAGAAAAGAGGCAAACCGGCAGAACGCTGGTTATAAAAGTGTAAAAAAGGAGGTAGCTCTTGGATTGTGTCAGGAATAAAACCAGGCTGAGCTCAGGTGGAGAGCAGTAAAGGATGAGGAGGAGATTTGTTGCAGGAAAAATTCTGTAAAAAGAAAACAATTTGGAGAAAACTGGGAAAATAGTAGAAATAAAATATAAAAAGAACAGAATTAAATGAGTAAAAGAGTATGTGGCAAAACAGGAAGTAACTTGTAACAAACTTGTTTTTTATCCTTCGTAACAAAAGGTACGGAGGATAAAAATTAAGAAATGAAGCAGTAAGAGCTTTAGAGACATTACAATACCGCCACCTTGTGGTTTCTGGTTGAACTGCAGCATAGAAGAAAAACCACAAGAGAAAAATGCTAAAATTTCTATCATGAAACAAATTCATCTGGTAAATCTAATCACTGCTAAAATAACATAATACAAATAAAATAATGCTCAACTTTAATAATATTGTTATTACTTTTAAATTTAAATTTCTACTGCTTAGACTTTTACTTGTTTTTGTGTAAATGCTAAAAGAAATGAAACTTTAGTGAATATATGTGTTGTTTGTTTGCCTGTGTGGTGCTTAATGAGCCGTTGTGAGCGGTGAATCACTCAGATCCTTGCAGAGCACAAACAGGAAGCCCATTAGTGTGATTGGCAGGTGTGGAACCTGGGTGTTAAGGCTCCTGTTGTCAAGAGGAAATAGGCGCAGCGTTGTGAGACCTTGTCAGTGGAGCTGACATGTTCTGTCCAATCTCCAGGACTCGTGTGCCTCAGCTGTGGCCCCGACAGCGCTGGAGGAGGCATACCAGTTTGGACTGTCCCGAAACAGTCACATGACCTTCGCCTTTGATGACACTAAAGTCAGAGAGAGGTACGTTTAAAGGAAATTATCATTTAGTCTTTATTTATATTTATAAATAAACTATATTATTTCTTTCCTCTGAACTGTTGTTGTGCTTTCTACCATGACAGGTAACAGCCTCAGTTCTTCTTGTTGTTTAGGTGGATTTTCTCTCACATTATTATGGGCCACACTTCAAAATAAAATACATTAACTTGAAAATTAACAAAGTTTTACAAGTTGGAATCTAAAAGTACTTTATTGTGAAGAAAATCGTTGAACGTACAAGCCGCCAAGTTTTTTTTTTTTTTTTTACCAAACCTAAACTCTGTTGTTACACAAGCATATTTTAATTTCCACCAGTTTTGATAGATAGATAGAGGTCATCATTACAGTAGTTATGATTTTAAGATTATTTTAGTTATTTGCCTCTTTTAAATCATTCGAACAGTTCACCTGTCATTAAACACACACACATCATTCATGTGTTCTTTTTTGTGTGATCACTTGTTGTACAGTTTCTGCCTGTCCATGCTTGATCCACCTGAGTGATGACACTCACACATGCTCAGTTAGATGTCCCACCTTGTAAAGAAAAAGTAAACAGATTCAAAAACTGCTCCAGGATTTATTTAAAAAACCTGTTTTTGAGGAACCAAAGTATATTTTTACCCAGCTTTATTTTTGTTCTACTGTTGTCACTGTTTTTGTGATCCATCTCAAACTTATATGGTTTAAACAAGTGAAATATTGACTTTTAACTAATCTAGTTAACATGTATCAGATGAGCTTATTTAGCTAACACATGAGGTTTTATCATGGCTGACAGGAAGGGGGACAGTTGTAACAGTTGTTGTAACTGTCCCCATATGATAAATCCATATAAAAACAGAGCACATATAGATGAGATTAACATGTTGAAATTAAGTTTACACTTAAATAGGGATGTAAGAAAATATCGATAACATGAAATATCGCGATATTTCATTTCCCGATACTATATCGATATTCTAAAGCCCTGTATCGATTTTTAATTATAAGGTTTAAAATGTCAACTTTCCTGCCAGCCGTTCATTTTTATGTTGTAGTTCAGCCTCTGACCACTAGTTGGCAGCAGTGAGCCAGCCATTTGGCTCCTCTACATCTTGAGCGCCAGAGAGTAAGGGTAGCATTAGCATTGTAAGTAAACCATTAGACCTTTTTTTTTTTTTTTCAGTAAAAGGTTTTTATTTAATAGAATTTTTGGACAAAAAAAATCTCAATATATTGCCTTGCTTATAGTATCGCAATATATCGGGATATATCGTATCGTGACCCCTCTGTTATGATATGTATCGTATCGCCAAATTCTTGCCAATACACAGCCCTACACTTAAAAGGGTGTTGGGTATTCATGACAGTTTTATAGTTTTAAAACATAAAAGTGTTTAAGMTGTATTTTCTGCAGTTGTTGTTTTCAACAATGGTTTTAAAATCCCAGTTTGTTTAATGTAAATGTTACATAATGTAGGCGTACAGTGACAATAGACAAAACTAAAGTTAATTGTCTCACAAATTGTTCTGTTATCCTTGTCTCTAAAAGTCAACTGTATTTTATATCAATTAGAGTCTTTGACATCTGTATATAAGGTCTACTCATCAAGACTAATCTATATTCATCATTTGATCAAAAAGAACAAATAACACTGTAATATCATTATAACTTACAATTTTTATTAATTTTGCAATAATATAAATATAAAAATAATAAAACATTTATTTACAGTGAAATATATTGTATTAGTAATAAGTTGTAACCACCCCCAAACAATGTTACAACTGTAATCCGGCTCAGGGGTCAGTTGCAACATCTGACTTTTCATTTTCAAATGCAAATAGTGAAGAATGTACATGCTTTAATCATTTATAAACAGTTTTGACTATTAACAGACAGATGTAAGTTTATTATATTAAAATTTGGTTTGTCTAATTCAAACCTCCTCTGAGTGACAAGTTCAAATGTAAAAAGTGTTGCAACTGTCCCCGGTCTCCCCTACTAATAAACATGAACAAGCGTCTCATTTTCTAATAAAAACCGATCTGTGTGTCTCAGGCTGATTCTGGACTTCGAGTTGAGGACGAAGGAGCAGTCCGGTCTCGTCCTGTACACGGCCAGAATCAACCACGCCGACTTTGTTTCCATCCAGGTGTGCAGCTTTAGTTCTGCGTGAGCTTTCTGTCGCAGCAGCAGCTCTGGTTGTTTTCATTAGTTTCACACAAACACGCCAACGTCACGGCTGTTTTTCTTCACCTGCGTCTCTCTGCAGATTAAGAACGGACAGGTTTGTCTCGGTTACGATCTCGGCCATGGAAACATCTCTGACTGTGTTCCTTTATCCATCAATGATGGCAACTGGCACAAGGTAGGACGGCCTGTCAGTTATTTGTTTGTGCTTATTTCACTGACGCTGCATTTTAATCAGGGTTACATCCTGATTAATCACTAAACATACTCATTTATTCCTGTTCTTGTACTCAAAGGTAGTAGTTTCCTTACTGAGGATGAGCCTTCACTAAAAAATATAAAACATTCATTATTTGGCATAAACTCTTCAGTACTGATGCAGCAGTATTGTGGATTATAAGGTTGTTGCTTATGTTTAAGAATAGATGTTTTTTTTTAATTTACGTGACCATATAAACTGTTTAATGTCTCCTTAGATCCGTGTGAACCGTGACAAGCAGCAAGCTTTCCTCATCGTTGATGGGCGATACAGCAAGAAGATGAACAGCCCAAAGAAGGTGCAGTATTCTTCTAGAGCCTGATCAAGTTTAAATAATCCTGTTTTATGCTTTTTATTTTGCATTAACCAGGGTTCCTGCAGATCCTTAAAAAGTCTTAAAAGGCCCTTGAATTCATCAATCCAAAAATAAGGCCTTAATTAGCCTTAAAAGGTCTTAAATCAATCTTCAGAAGTCTTAAAAATGTGAACACATTGAAGTAGGATGACTGTAATTCATATAAAATATTAAAATAATTGGTAACATTTATTTATTTTTGAAATATTCCCATTCAGATGTTCCCTTTTGACATCACTTCTTGTTATTTCACCTGCAAATATCTCAACTGTCCATCAGAGCGATGTGAAATTAGTTTTCTAATATGTTAATGTTGTCTTTCCAAAAATACATCCATATTTCTTACAAAAAATTGATGTCACAGGCACTTTAAGGTTTTATCTACAGCAAGCTGGGGTTGAGAACCCACTCTGGGTCATAAAGCTACAAATGTTGGGTCGTTAGAGGATTTCCAGAAATTAAATTAAGTTTAAAACTGACTGATAAGAATGGTTTATTTTTGCTATATTTGATAAAATAGCAGTTAGATCTGGATAAAAACAATTGGTCTATTAGCAATATTTGGATAATTCAACCAAAAATACTTTCATGAGTTTCTGCCACAGTTTTAATTTGTTTTGTCATTTGTGTTTATCGTAAAATTGGTCTTAAATTTGATTTCACCTGGCATTAAAAAGTCTTAAATTTAACTTAAACTGTAGGAACCCTGATTAACGGCTCTCTTCTATCAGGCGGACCTGTTGGATGTGGTGGGCCTGCTGTATGTTGGTGGATTACCACACAACTACACGACCAAGAGAATTGGACCGGTAAATAGATGAAAAATGTTTAAGTTTATTAAAGTTTATGTTGGTGAACTCACACAGGAAAAGTTTTGTGAGCGAGATTTTCTTTTTTAAACGTGAAAAGCTTTGAATGTCTCACAACATTTAAGAATATTAAACAACTGATTTTCTGAACGATTTACTCACAACAAAGAGATTTTTAAAAGTTCTCTAAATGTTTTGTTCCCAGATTCTCCACAGCATCAACGGCTGCGTACGGAACTTGAAGATGGCAGGAAGTCCTGTCAGCATCAAATCAGCTTCCACAGGTACGCACACCTGCAGCTCACGTGTTTTACTTGTTACCTGAGCTACACAGAAACATAGCTGCTGTTCTGATCCGTCTCAGGTCGCTCTGAACTGGAGGACTTTAAGCTGAGCATGGCCACGCCCACCTCCAGTCACATGGTCGGCAGGTGTTTTGTTGCTACTGAAGCAGGGACGTATTTTGATGGAACTGGGTATTTGGAAGCAGGTGAGCTGCCACACCTGAACCTGCTGGTCGGTAATCAAGCAGCTGTGCTGATGAAACAAACGTCTCGTTTCCAGTTTCCTCCTATCGGGTGGGCTTGGACGTGTCCATAGAGTTCGAGTTTCGCACCAGCAGAACTAACGGAGTGCTGCTGACCGTCAGCAGCTCAGCCAATCATGGACTGGGTCTGGAGATCGTCGAGGGAAAGGTACCTCCAGTGTCAAACTGTGGTATTTATAAAAGATGGTGTCGTTGTTCAAACTGCGATGATTAACTTCCTGTTTCGTCCAGCTGCTGTTCCACGTGGACAATGGAGCTGGTGGGATCACAGCGGAGCATGTTCCTGGTGGAGGGGGGTTCTGTGATGGACAGTGGCACTCAGTCACTGCCAACAAGCTGCGCCACCGGCTGGAGCTGCTGGTGGACGGGAAGCTGAGCCAAGCCCAGTCTCCCAATCCACGCTCCAACGCCTGCAACACTAATGATCCCATCTACGTGGGAGGATATCCAGGTAGGACAGCCAGCAGGTGTCTCATGTTACATTATTAAGGTGTTTTCACACCTGATAGTCCGGCAGACTGGGTTAAACTGGGGACAGCACTGTGGTGGAGCTGCACCTAGAACCACTCTGAGCCCAACTTCCTTCTTCAAAAACTGGCGTCAGATTCTAGCAGCTGTAGGACTTTGGCAGAAGCATGGAGAACGTTTTTCACAGAGTGTGAGGTGCTGTTGGAGAAATTATGATCCAAAACATTTTGATTCATTTATTTACAAGAGATCTAAATGCTGTCGATCTGTTTGTTTGTTTGTTTGTTTGTCAACTTTGACTTCTGCATGACATGTTGGCTTTCTAAGTTTTATTTAGTTTGTAGAGTTGAGCCACATCTATGACCACTGTTAGACACGTGGTTGGAACAGGTAGTAGTAATAATAATAATAATAATAATAATAATTTTATTTGAAAAGCACCTTTCAGGACACCCAAGGACACTTACAGCATTGGTCACATCGTAGGAGAATGTGTGAAAATACAAAGAC